ATAGCAAACATCCTTAGAAAATAGAGACACTGTCTCCCTCTAGAGCAGAGGGAGCAGAAGTCTGTTTAACATCCAACATAATAATTATGTTTCCCTTTTCTGTAATGGTTGAGCAGGTTCTGTTACTGTCGGTTATAAAATACTAAGGTGTTTTATAAAGCTTTTATTTAAGTTTCAATTAGTTAGCATGGTACAATATTAGTTTCAGGTGTACAATTTAGTGATTCAGCAGTGCCATACACCATGCAGTGCTCATTACATGTGCCCTCCTTACTGCCCATCACCTATTTAACCCATCTCATCTCCCCATGCTTCTTCCCTCTGATAACCAGCAGTCTGGTCTCTATAGTTTAAGAGGAGTGCCTGGGTGGCTCTTGGTTAAGTGTCAGACTCTTGGTTTCAGATGAGGTCATGGTCTCATGGTTCTTGAGTTCCATCCCCACATCGGGCTCTGTAATGACAGTGCTCGCTCGCTCGCTCGCTCGCTCTCTCTTTCTCTCTCTCTCTCTGCTCGTTCCCCACTCACACAGTCTCTCTCTCAGAATAAACAAATAAAGTTTAGAAAAAAGAGTCTGGGGTGGGTGGCTCCTGGGTGGCTCAGTTTAGGGTAAATGTCTGACTCTTGACTTGGGCTCAGGTCATGATCTCATGGTTCATTAGTTTAAGCCCCCCATCGGGCTCTGCCCTGACAGTGTGGAGCCTGCTTGGGATTCTGTCTCCCTCTCTCTCTGCCTTTCTCTGCTTGCTCTCTCTCTAAAAATAAATAAAAATAAACTTTAAAAATAAAGAGTCTGTTTCTTGGTTTGAAGCTAAAGAGTATTATGCTAAGTGAAGTAAGTCAGAGAAATACAAATAACATGATTTCTCTCAAATGTGGAATTTAGGAAACAAAACAAACTAGCAAAGGGGTGGAGGAGAGAGATACTTAGGATTTTTAAGCTCAGGGTCCCCCAGATGTGATACAACCCCTAGATATGTGCACTTCAGCCTGGCCACTTCTGCATCACTCCTATGGGGCTTAAGAGACAAGGGGTAGGGTACTGGTCTGTATGTAAAGTTCATGCTGTCTACTGTGTTCTCTGTCTTTTCATTGACGTAGTTGTCTCTAGTCTTCTGCTAGTATTTGTAATACTGTTGAAGGCTAACTTCTTGATTTGTTTGGTTTTAAAAGTTGATTTATTTATTTTGAGAGAAAAAGAGAGCAGGGGAGGTGCAGAGAGAGAGGGAAAGAGAGAATTCCAAGCAGGCTTCATGCTATCAGCACAGAGCTGGATCTGGAGATCATGACCTGAGCCCAGATCAAGAGTCTGAAGCTTACTCAACTGAGACACCCAGGTTCCCCCAACATCTTAGCTTGTCAAGTGGAGTAAATTCTTGCTGATCCCCCCACTTCTCCCACCCTGCTGGATTTTGACAGGAAATTCTCATTGTTTTATATCTATATTGAACTTTAATATTGTTATTTTATAAGTTTTTGTTTACCTGATGGTGGGAAGTAGTGTTATGATTTTAATTTCCATTTTCTTGATTCATGATGAGTGTGAGCCTTTACTGTAGTTATTCGGGTTTCCACATCTATGAAATACCTGTTCTTATTAGTCTGATTTTGCTATTGAATTATTTTTCTTATTAATTTAGAAGACTGTTAGCTGTACATGTTCTAAATATCTTCTTTAAACCTCTGGCTTTATTTTGGCTGCTTAATGGGGAGCAATGATGAGAAGAACTTTTTATATCAAAATTTCAAATTTAATATTAACTTCAAATATAAGATGCCTAATTTATCTATTTATCAATTGCCTCACTGTGCTTTTCAATTCTGTTTAAGAAAGGAATATCTTTATTGAAGTCATAATGACATTCTTCTGTATTTTTTTCTAAATGGTTAAACTTTTGTCTTTTAAATTTAAGTCTTATTTGATCTTCCTGAGACTTTTTTCTATATAAGCTAGACATCAAATTAATGTTTTTTCCATATACATAACCAATCTGATGATATATCTTTTTCTGTCTTCTATGTGAAAATTCCCATATATATACATGTATATGTATATGTGTGTATATATATGTATATATATAAAGGCTTTCTGTTTTATTCCATAATTTTATTTGTCATTTTTCTATCCTGTGCTAATGGCACATGTTTGAGATTTACATTTCCAGAAATGTAGCAGATTAGGCTATATAATTAAAACTAGCCCATCCTCAGAAAATAAGCAACTATATAAATATATCCAAAATGTCTATATGTACATATAAATATATATTGTATATGCGTGTATATATATATTACTAGGTAAAAATGTAAGGGAAAATAGAAAATCAAAGTATTTTAATTGGAATATCCCAATCAAATTGCTTTTACCTTCAGCTGCTCACCAAGCCAGACAAACTTGAACTTTGAGTCTTATAGCTTGGCATGGTGAAGCAAGCAAGATTCAAGACACAAGGTGTGCCCAAAGCAAGGGATCATTTCCACTTTAATTCGTGAAAATAAAAGTGAACCGTACTGTTGAATGCACTTAGATGTGTGTCAGCAACAAAGGTATATCTCTAAAGAAATGTATCTGTATTTTAGACTGCAAAGAACCCCCACTAAATAGTACTTTTAGTCACATGATCAACAAATAGTTAAAAATAAAAAAGAAAATACAAAGAGAAAAGTGCCAAGATCAAGGATACTATAGACTTCATATATAAAAATATCAGATGCGTATTTATAAGGCAACTATACATACAGTATGTGTATGAATTTATAAAACTGAAAAAATGCAAAGAAAGGAAACTTATGAAGTGACACACCAGATTTTTTTAAAGACTTTATTCCTTTAAAATAGTTTTAGGTTCACTGTAATATTGAGCAGAAAGTACAGTGATTCTCCTCCATATACCCCCTACCCCAGGACAGGTGTGGCCTCTACCAGTAACAACAACCCCCAACAGAGTGGTACATTTATTACAATTGATTAACCTACACTGATCCATTGTTAGCAGCCAAAGTCCATAATTTACATTAGGGTTCACTCTTGGTATTGTACATTTTGTGGGTGTATAATTACATGTATCCACCATTATATTATCATACAGAGTAGTTTCACTCCCCCCCCCCCCATTCTCTGTGCTCAGCTTACATATCCCTCCCTTCCTTGAACTCCTGGCAACCGCTGATATTTTTACTGTCTCCATAGTTTTACCTTTTCCAGAATGTTACACAGTTGAAATCACTCAGTATGTAGCCTTTTCAGATTAGTTTCTTTTATTTGGTATATGCATTTAAGTTTCCTCTATGTCTTTTCATGTCTTAATTGCTCATTTCTTTTTGGCACTGGTAATATTCCATTGCCTGGTTGTAGCACAGTTTATTTGTCCTTTCATCTACTAAAGGACATCTTGGTATCTTCCAGGTTTTGCCCATTTAGAATAAAACTGCTATAGACATCCATGGGCAGATTTTTGTGCAGACATATTTTCAGCTCCTTTGGGTAAATACCATGGGACACAATTGGTTGATTATATGGTAAGGGTATGTTTAGCTTTGTTAATAAACCAAACCGATCTTCCAAATGAGTTATACCATTTTGCAGTCCTAAGAAAAATGAATGAGAGTTACTTTTGCTCCACAACCTGACCAATATTTGGTGTTTTCAGTGTTCTGGAATTTGACTATTTTGATAGGTATACAGTGGCATCTCATTGTTTTGATTTACATTTCTGTGATGACATACAATGTGGAGCATCTTTTCTGTTAAGATCCATGGCCCATTTTTTAACTGGATTATTTGTTTTCTTACTATTGAATTTTGAGAGATCTTATATATTTTGGATGTGTCTTGCAAATACTTTCTCCTAGTCTGTTCTCGTCTTTCAATAGTCTTGATAATATCTTTTGTACGGTAGAAATTTTTTATTCAAAGAAGTCCAGCTTATCAATTCTTTGTTTCCTAGATTATACTTTTGGTATTGTATCTGAATATTGGTGCCAAACCCATGGTCATCTAGATTTTCTCCTATGTCATCTTCTAGTAGTTTTGTAGTTTTATGTTTTACATTTAAGTCAGCAATTAATTTTTAGTTAAATATCATGAAAAGTATAAAGTTTATATTTAGAGTCAGTATTTTGCATGTGGACACCCAATGTATTGCCTTTGCTTGTTTGTTAAAGGAGATCAGTTGATGTTAGGAAGATGTGGTACACACACACACACACACACACACACACACACACACACACACTAGAATATTACTCAACTATAAAAAGAATGAAATCTTGCCATTTGCAGTTGACATGGATGGAGCTAGAGAATATTATGCTGAGTGAAATGAGTCAGAGAAGACAAATACCATATGCTTTCATTCATATGTAGAATTTAAGAGTCAAAACAAATGGCCAAAGGGGAAAAAGAGAGAGGCAAACCAGGAAACAGACTCTTTAACTATAGAGAACAACTAATGGTTACCATAGGGGAGATTGGTGGTGGTGGAGGCATGGGTGAAATGGGTGATGGGGATTAAGGAGTCCACTTGTGATAAGGACCAGGTGATGTATGGAAGAATTGAATCACTATATTGTACACCTAAAACTAATATTACACTATATGTTAACTAACTGGAATTTAAATAAAAACTTTAAGAAAGATAAAAAAGTAGTTAAACTTGTATCTCTACAAGCTTCAAATTGAGACAGCAATAGAGACTAGTGTTTTATCTTCTGACTTTTAATAAGGTGGCATATTAAATCTGTTTAATCAGCCAAACTATCCTGTGATAATTTAGTATTTATCTGCAAACATCTGCATTGAAATATCTACCAAATTTGTTGCATATTCTAGAAACTTGAATATAATATAATGTACAATAGAAATAGAAATATAAAAGTACAATATAATGTACTTTTTTATTCAGTAAAATTTTATAAAGTTTTTTGAACATTTTTCTAGAACACAGTAAATATCTCTGAAGAAAATTTTGAGAACATTATTATATCATTCCTTTGATTTCAGGCTGGACAGCAGCGTTGGTGGGAACAAGAGATTAAAATAAATGGAAATATTCAGAAGGGAGAACTAATTACATATAACTTGACTGAGCTAATTAAACCAGAGGCATATGAAGTCCGACTAACTCCTCTCACCAAATTTGGCGAAGGAGATTCAACAATCCGCGTCATCAAATATAGTGGTAAGTAGTACTTTATTTTAAAATATTTATTTGCATATTAAACTGTCTAGAATATGTACATTGCAACTCTCTACTAAATTTAGACACAAACTAAAATGTAGCATATTGGCCTTCTGGGTCATCAGTCAAGTGACTAAAAGAGAAAACAAAAAAATAGAAAACTTAATCATCATAAATTATAATATTTGATTTAAATGTAGAGATGTAGAATAATGTTTTAGTTAACACTGAATCCCTGTGCTAATGCCAACAGTGTCCTTTTATTTTCTATCCTATCAGTTATGATGCAGTAATTTTGCATTTTTTTTCAAATTCTTGATGGCGTTAAAATTTATGTCATTAAGAAATTAGCAAATACTACCAGTACTTGGTTTTTAATCGGTGGACTTGATTTTTTAAAGCATTTCTAGATTTACAAGGAATTGAGCAGAAACTAAAGAGAGCTTCTGTATGTGTTCTTTTCCCCCAAAACAGTTTCCCCTATTATTAACTTTTCTTTATTAATTTTTCTTTAGTTTGGTACACTTTGTACAATTGATTAAAGAATATAGACATATTGTTGTTTAAAAAAACAAATAGTTTACATTAGGGTCATTATTTGTGTTGGACAGTTACATGAGTTGTGATAAGTAGATAATATGATTTGTTCATCATCACAGTATGATACAGAAGAGGTTCACTCCCCTAAAAATCCCCTGTGCTCCACTTATTTATCCATCCCCATCCCCTTCAACCCTGACACCATTGATCTTTTTATTGTCCATAGTTTTGCTTTTATTAGAGTATTGTATAGCTGGAATAATGTAGCATATAGCTTTTTCAAACTAGCTTATTTAATTCAGCAATATGCCCTTAAGGTTTTTCCATGTCTGAGGCTCAATAGTGCCTTTCTTTTTATTGCTTAATATTTACCATTGTGCAGATGTATTGTAGTTTGTTGATCCATTCATCTATTGAAGTATATCCTAGTTTATTTTTTTGGTCATTTTTTCTTTTAGATTGCTAATGTTAAAAATAGCTAAATGTATGTGAGCGTGTTTGTGTGTATGTTAGTGGAACTGATTAATATTTTATTGATTGAAGTTTATGTGAATTTTTCAGTTCAAATTTGTAATATTCACCGACTACCTCTAGAACTGTCAATATGTTTTTCAGGGTTGAATGAGTCATTGGCAAAATATTTCATATTTATTTCATTACTTTAGTGAAATATTATTCTTTTTATCATTGATTACTAGAGCTTGAGTTTAAAAACTAATAGAATATAGCTTTTTGTGGTTGAAGTTCTCCATTCAGTTTAGCCTAAGGCAGATTTTTCTACTTAAGAGGGAAACAGTGAATACTGTCAAAATAAAAAGTACAGTGAAATTATTAAAAGCTCATTCGAGTTGGGACACCTGGGTGGCTCAGTCAGCTAAGCGTCCAATTCTTGATTTCCGCTCAGGTCATGGTGTCACAGTTCATGAGATCCAGCCCTGTGCTGGGCTCTGTGCTGTCAGCACAGAGCCTGCTTGGGATTCTCTCTCTCCCTCTCTCTCTCTGCCTTTCCACTGCTTGCACATGTATGAGTGCTCGCTCGCTTGCTCTCTCTCTCTCTCAAGAGAAATAAATAAACCTAAAAAAACTCATTAGAATTGCTTTTCATGTGAAATCACTTTTCTCCACTCTCTTTTTATCAATTAGATATATTCAGTTTCACTGAAAAGAAAACATACAACATAGAATGGAATATTAATAGAATAATAGTAATATTATTATCATGGTCTCGCAGTTTGTGAGGTGGAACACTGCTTCAGGCTTGCTGTCAGCACAGAGCCTGCTTGGAATTCTCTCCCTCCCACCTGCCCCTCCCCCATTCATGCACACTCCCTTCTCTTGCTCTTTCAAAATACATTTAAAAAAGAAATAAATTTTAATGGCTCTAACAATTGTTATTCTCTAATTACCTCCATTATCCCATAGGGCACAAAAGTAGGTAGTATCTCAATATATTTTTTCTAAAATTTAATTGTATATGTCTTATAAATTATAAATTATTATGACTTTTTATCTAATTTTATGCCCCCTGTCCCTAAGTTATAATACTGTAGACTACTTCATATGAAGGGGCATTAGAAACAATACATTAATATCCATTCATGTAAAAAAGAAGATATTAGGACCCAGAAAGTTTCAGTGTCCTCCAGAGTTAAGCAACAATGACAAACTAAATAGAACTGGGTTAGTTTACCCTTTCATGACTGAGGATCCATGTTGCTTTGCTATATTTAGAAATTATATGACTCTTCTTAAAGAAATATAGAGAAAAACGTCTTTAGAAGCTCAGTAGTTTTATTGAAAACTCTGAGGTAAGAGACTAAAATGGAAAATAAATCTGGAGGGGCACCTGGGTGGCTCAGTCAGTTAAGCCTCCAGCTTCCGCTCAGGTCATGATCTCACGGTTTGTGAGTTCGAGCCCCGCGTCAGGCTCTGTGCTGACAGCTCGCTCAGAGCCTGCAGCCTGCTTCAGCTTCTGTGTCTCCCTCTCTCTCTGACCCTCCCCTGCTCATGCTGTGTGTGTGTCTCTCTCTCAGAAATAAATAAAACATTAAAAAAAAAGAAAGAAAAGAAATCTGGAGGATAGGTATTATGCTAGTTTCAACTTTAATTATTTTTACATTCTTAGGCATACTTATTAAAATCTTAAACATTTTAATTAAGATCTCTTTCATAGAATATAGATTTGGGTAAAGTTTACCTAAATGGTATCTAGAGATTTATTAAAAATCACACATGAAAGTTCAGTTGAATAAAAGAAGAAAAATGGACTCATTGCAATATTTAGAATTTAGAATGGAAAATTTTCACAAGGTTAAATCTGCTACGTATAGTGAATTTGGTGACTAATGATATTGTAGCAGAATACTCAGTTAATACTCAGTCTGGTCAGAGGTTAACTGTAGATGTGACTAATTTTTAGAACTAAATTATAAATCAAAGATATTTACTTCTTTGTGCGATAATACATAGGCAAATTTAAACTTTCATATTATTATAATTATGAAATAATTTTAATTTTTACTAATTAATTTTTGAGTGATAATATATGGATATCTTACAAGAAAAAGAATTATTATTTTTCTCCACTATACATAATATAGTCCCTTCTCTATATTATGTATTTCATATTTGCAATGGGAAAAACAATGGGAAAAATAAAGTAATAAAAATAATCTGTCTTCTGTAAGAAATAGTGAAATATTTGGTTGAAAAACTAACTGTTAAAATTGATGTCAATGTACTAATGTAACAATTATCATGAACATGTTTTGTGCATGTGTGTGCATTTTTGACTATCATACTTTACCTGTAAAATCCAAGTTTGACAAAAGTGGTTAATGGCAAACACTAGAAATTAACAATAGAGCAGACAAATTTTTCAAGTTTTTCAAATTTTTCAACTACCTATTGTAATCCTGGGAGACTACAGTCATGTTTTACTTGATCCAGAATGAAATATGCTCTCAAAGTGATAAATAACTAACCAATATACACAGATACCATTTTGTCTGTTAGATTAGATATATGTTTGTTGTTGTTTCAGTAAAACGTAAAGCATTCATTCTCTTCAGCTAGACCTCAGTTGTCACTTACATGGTAAGCGCAATTCATTTTTTGAAGATAAATCGGTCTTCTGGTGCAAAAAAGTGCAATGTATTGCTTTTTATTTGAAAACCTGTGTGTGTATGTGTGTGTAAGAGAGAGAGAGATTAGACAAAACAGCACTGGTATAGCTCTTTGTTTTAGGGTGCATGTAATAACATGAAATAAGGAATGCCTTATTTTCATATATACCATGTTATTTTCAACACAAGTAGATAACTGAAAAAATCTAAAATGTAATCTCTGTTGGATAATTGCTTTCATTGTTAAACCATCTAGATTACAGGTTGGCCTGCTGTCAGCCTGAGTTTTGATTTCTGGGGATTTTTGCACTGGTTAAGATATAAAAGATCAGCAACTCCATTCCTTGGAAAATGAACAAATCCCACATGCTATTTAGCATTGATCTTTTGGGTATTTTGAGACTGTTATTGCTGAGCTCCAAAGTAGATTCTATTCACTCCTCTAGAACAAAATGGATTGCAGACACAATTCTCCATGGTCACAGTGGGGAAGATCATTAAGTTTTGATAAGGAACCATGAGACACTGATTAGACTTTTATTTATAAAAGACATTCAAGCCATGCTAACATTATTTTTTGCTTTTCTTGTAGCTCCTGTTAATCCTCATTTGAGTAAGTATATTTTTATTTTAATAATGGTACAGCATTTCACAGTTAAGAAAAATAAAAAAATTCATAGGCATACAAAGATTATTTAGAAACTGTTCATATTTGGTTTAAAACGAAATGACTTAGAAACAGTAAAACTGGCCTTAAATGTAAATTGTGAATTTTAAATGTTTATGGATAAGGGTATAAAGACAAATTATTTAACATTGATCAATGATTTTTATAAGTTCTAAATAGGGAGCTATTTCCCACAACTTAACATTTGTTATATAACTCTGGGATTATTTTTTTTTTCTTTTGTGGCAGTGGATTTAATTTACATTGCTATTATTTTTTTCCTTAATTTTCATTTTAAATTTCTACAAGCCAGTTATACAAGACTATAGTTACTTAGAAAATTGGTATTTGAGTGGTTTAATCAATATTAATCATGGGTCACTAGTCTGTATCCTCATTTTTAATGAAAAAGATAGTCTGTTCCCCATCCTCTTGATAATATTTCACATTAAAGATTGATTTGTGTCTTCTATTTTGTGCCTAGGAATATATTGTTCTTGGCCAATAAAAGAATGGAGAGTCACTTTCCACTCTTACTCCCATCCCCCCAATATTCTCCATTACCTATGCTCAGTGAAGAAAATATGCAGATCTTGATTCTCATTTTACTACCTTTCCTTTTCTACAATGGCCTTTCACAGATTAAAAAACCATGACCAAACTACACAACCTGCTTCTACCTTATTTTCTACTAACGATCCTTTTACTGTTTCTACGTATCCAATCATAATACTGAATACATTTGTAGATCTTTACTGTTTTCATATTCCTTTCATGCACACTTTGTTTTGTTGTCACCAATGACCCTTTAATGTGCATATCCTCAAGTCTTTGAGGTTTGCTTATAAACTTTAGCACAAAGGCTTTTTTCTTCACTAAGTATTCTCTCCATTTGATTTTCTGTAACAATTTATCTTCATCAGGGTGGTAAGCTAGTTTTTATTTTGTCATATTCCCCAGTAGATTATAAAATACTTAAGAGCTAAGTATGTTTCTGATTTCTCCCTATATCTCACTATCATTTTGTCTGTCACAGCATCTTATATTTAGCAGACGTTCAATGATCATTTGTTGAAAGAACAAATACATGACAGTTTCAGTATGAATTAATTGCATAAATCAGGTTCTCCCTGGCTTCCACTCAGGGTACTATTGCTATTTAATTACTCTATTGATTATAATTCTTTTGAAGGTAAAATCTCTGACTATAAATTCACTACAAGTGTTTAAAATTAGTTGTCATGGGAAAATTAGATACAGGATAAAGTTGACAAATATTTCAATTCAGGAAAAATTTGTGAGCAGCTTTAATTTACTGGAAAAATGCATATATAAAAAAATAGTAGAGCTTTGTTTGCCAACAGATTACTTCCATACAATTTAATAAGTACCATTAATTTTTTGGCAAATGGTTTTACAGAAGACGTGCTGTTTGAATTGGTCCTTGAATATTGGATAAAGGTTCCTTTGGTGAGGAAGGTAAGGAAAGGCATACTTGTCATCAGAACGAAGGTCTTAGACAATAACTGAGCAAAGCTCAGAGTGTTTAGAGTACAACATTCAAACATTACAGAAGCCAAAAATGTGCCCTGAAGATGAACAATATTAATTAGAAATTGAGTGCTTTTAAAAGCTTGTATCCTTTAGGTGATAGTTACCAACTTCTTCCTCAGCAAGCGTTTTTTTTATAGTCAGACAATGAATTGGATTTTCTATTTTTAAAATACCTTCCAGTATAACTCTCTATACCAAAGATTTCCATCAACTGTACTTTTTACTTTTTACCAAGTTTCAATATGTTAAAAGATTAGAATTGTTTAGAACAAATACTTTTTAGTAAGCATCATACAATGATTTCCATAATCTGTCAAGAGAAATTATTTTTTTAAAAGAGCATTTTTATGTTATTGACATAAAAATACATATGATATGAGACATATATTGGCAACAAATGAAACTAACTTTAGATGCTGTTTTAACAACTTACATAGTCTTTAAATGAATTTATTTATCCTAGGTATCTGCTTCCAAAATATCTATATAGAGTAAGTCCATGAAATTTGTCATAGTATGATTCTTCATTAGACTCAAAACACTATTTAAATTTAAAATAGGAAGGCCTTCTACTTATAGTTTTAGAAAAAAAAACTTTTGAACTGATTGGTAGGATGATTCGTTGTCAGAAGAACCACAGTTCTCCAGTAAAGCAGTAGTAGTGCTCAGTTGCCCTTCCCATACGTGATTTGTTTCTCAGGAAGGGTACCCTTGGACCAAGCCTGAAGTTTAGTCCAATTGGACTGTGTTAATTGAAAAGAAAATAGAAAGAAGTTGAAATCTGATAGGAATGAATTCTGAGGTCTCACAAGTATCTCACCAATAGAGTTGAAATTTGCTACTGTAAAGAGGCTTTAAATGTTTTGAAAAGCAAGAGCACCTGGGTAGCTCAGTTGGTTAAGCGTCCAACTTAGCTCAGGTTATGATCTTGCATTCACAAGTATGAACCCCTCTGAGCTGTCAGCACAGAGCCTGGAGCCTGCTTCAGATTCTGTGTCTCCCTCTCTCTCTGCCCCTCCTCTGCTCATGTTCTGTCTCTCTCTGTCTCAAAAATTAACAGAAACTTGCAAAAAATTTAAATGTTTTGAAAAGCATAGTTGGTCTGGTTTAGGCTCTGAAGTCTGTCAAGTTGTTAAAATTTAAAACTTTTGGGAAGTTTTTTGGGGGGCTTCTTTTGCTTTATATTAGAGATTATAAGTACAAGATGGTATATATATATGTATATGTATGAAATACATATGCATAATATATATATAACCATAAATATGCATATTATGATATATAAATAATACATATGCAGGAAAATTCACCGTCTCAGTGAAATAGCTTAACAACAGAAAAGGAAATTTACCGTAATAACCCACTCTAAAATATCAATCCAAATTTAGAACTAATGGACAAATTAAGTAAAGTGATGTGATATAAAATCAATGTACAAAAACCTTGTGACATTTCTGTATATTCACAGTGAACTATCTGAAGAGGAAATTAAGAAAATGGTTCCATTCAAAATCAAAACAAAAGAATAAAATACTTAGAAATAAACTTAGCCAAAGAAATAAAAGACTTCTTCATTAAAAATTATAACACATTGTTGAGGAAATTAGAGCAGACAGGTAAATGGAAAGACACCCCATGTTCATTGATTAGAAGAATTAATATTGTTGAAATATCCATATTTCCCCACATAATCTACAGATTTAGTGTAATCCCTACCAAAATATCAATGACATTCTTTACATAAATAGCAAAACAATCTTAAAGTGCATAGAGAACCATTAAAGATCCCAAATAGTTAACATAATCTTGAGCAAGAAAAATAAAGCTGGAGGCATCGTACTTCCTGATTTTAAAATATATCACAAAGCTACCATAATCAAAGTACTGGCAAAAAAAAAATGGCCATTTAGACTGATAGAACAAAATACAGAGCTCACAAGTAAATGCATGAATTTCCAGTCAACTGGTTTGTGACAAGAGTGCCAAGAACATACAATAGGGAAGGGACAGTTTCTTAAACCATTTTACATTGTTGGTAGGTATGCAAATTACTACAGCCTTTATAGAAAGCAGTGTAGAGGTACCTAGGTGCCTCAGTCTGTTCAGTGTCTGACTGTGGTTCCAGTCATGATCTCATGGTTCTTGAGTTCAAGGCCCACATCAATCTCTGTACTGACAGCTCAGAGCCTGGATGGAGCCTGCTTCAGATTCTGTCTCTCTCTCTGCCCCTCCCCCTCTCACACTCTGTCTCTCTCTCTGCCTGTCTCTCCTTTTCTCCCTCAAATATAAACATTAAGAAAAAATTTTTTAAGAAAACAGGGCATAGGTTCCTCAAAAATTAATAGAATTACTAAATGATCCAGCAATCTCACTTCTAGGTAAAATATCCAAAGGAAATAAAATGTCTGTCTTGATGAAATATCTACAATACCAAGTTCATTGCAGCATTATTCACAATAGCCACGATATGGAAATGGTCTAAGTGTCTGTCAATGGATTAATGGATAAAGAAAATGGAGAATATTAAACAGCTTTTAAAAAGAAGGTTATCCTGCCACTTGAGACAACACCAATAAATTCAGTTTATTATGCTAAATGAACTAAGCCTGACACAGAAGGACAAATCCTGCATAATCTCATTTACATGAAACCTAAAACAGTCAAACTCAGAAGCAGAGTGTAGAATGGTGGCTTCCAGGGGCAAGAGGGAAGGAGAAATGGGAGATGTCGGTCAAAGGCCATATACAATTTGAGTTATGTTAGATGAGTGAATTCTGGACATCTAATGTCCAGCATGTTGACTCTGCTTAGCAATACTGTATTGTATACTTGAACTTTGCTAACAGGGTAGCTCTTGAGTATTCTCCCCTCCAAAAGAAAGATAAATAATGGTAACTGTGTGATATATGAAGTGATGGAGATATTAATTTGCTTCATTGTGGTGATCCTTCCAAAATGCATATCAAAACATCAGATTGTATATCTTAAATATATATAATTTTGTTTGTCAATTATATTTCAGTAAAGCTAAAAAAATAAAGTTAAAAATTAAGAAACAGGATCAGGCAATGCAACAGTGTCATTGGGCTAGAGGACTGCAGGGCATCAGACTGCTTATCCCTGAGTTTTATTCCGTCTTCTTCATATTGAGAAGGATTTGAGAAATAAAGCACAATTCTGGAAACCATGTAATGTGAAATATCTCAAATATACTCATTTATTTCTACGGAGCCCTTAAAACTACCAAAATTTTGTTGTAGTTAGAAAACTAGTGAAACTTTCAAGATTGAATCAGTCTTCAGTTGCATATCTTTGTGAAAATCCTGGACTGTATTACTTTCTTATTTGATAAGAACTTTTAATATTTAACATAATATTAACTTTTGATAAAT